ACCAACGTCTTTGCGTTGTTGTTGTTCACCGTCTGCTTTAGTATCATCAGTTGTGGGATGTGTTTTCATGATTCATCTAATCATGTTGTATAGCAGGAAATATAGTGTAGATCTTGAAGTTTCTTCTCAGTTACTAATCCACCATCCGATTGTCCGTGAGCTCGAACAAGTTGAAGAAGAGAATATTCACATGCCTCCTCCTAGGAAACGTTCTCCTCGCGCTATCAAACGGAAACCCAAAACACCGACCACTTTAGTCGAAGAGTTTCTAGACGAGAATTCTCAGATTCGCCATCTTTTCTTTCCTGATATGAAATCAGCTTTCGGTCCCACCAAGGATAGTAATGATACATTGCACTACTTCTTCCCTGGAAAAATTTGGCTGGACACGGAAGGGGATCCGATTCAAGCACATGGCGGTGGCATTTTGTATGATGAAAGATCTAAGATTTACTACTGGTATGGCGAATATAAAGATGGACCGACTTATCATTCTCACAAGAAAGGACCCGCTCGAGTAAGTTACCTTTTTCTTTCATTCCACATCGATGCATCTATCGTGGAATCAGAATTAGATTATGAATACAATTTCTTGAATTTGTTTCAGGTTGATATAATCGGCGTTGGATGCTACTCATCGAAAGACTTATGGATATGGAAAAACGAAGGCGTTGTATTAGCTGCCGAAGAAACAGATGAAACACATGACTTACACAAATCCAATGTTCTTGAGCGACCTAAAGTAATTTACAATTCAGAAACCGGGAAATACGTGATGTGGATGCATATTGACGATGCAAACTACACTAAAGCTTCGGTTGGTGTAGCCATTAGCGACAACCCAACAGGTCCGTTCGATTACTTATACAGCAAATCGCCACACGGATTCGACAGTAGAGACATGACTGTCTTCAAAGACGATGATAACATCGCCTACTTGATATATTCGTCAGAGGACAACAGCGTGCTACACATCGGTCCTCTAACCGATAACTACCTCGATGTGAAACCGGTAATGAAGAGAATCATGGTGGGACAACACAGAGAAGCTCCGGCTATCTTCAAACACCTAAACACTTACTACATGATCACATCTGGTTGCACCGGATGGGCACCAAACGAAGCATTGGCTCATGCCGCTGAATCGATAATGGGCCCGTGGGAGACATTGGGGAATCCATGTGTTGGCGGGAACAAGGTTTTTCGATTGACTACGTTTTTCGCGCAGAGCACGTACGTGATACCGTTACCAGGTGTTCCTGGTGCGTTTATATTTATGGCGGATAGGTGGAATCCGGCGGATTTGAGGGATTCGAGATATTTGTGGTTACCGTTGATAGTTGGTGGACCGGCTGATCGGCCTCTTGAGTTTAATTTCGGGTTTCCGATGTGGTCGAGAGTTTCTGTATATTGGCATAGACAATGGAGGTTGCCTTCAGGAGGAGGGAAGAAGATTGCTTAATAAAAAAGATTGT